TGATTTTTTTTTTTGTTTGTTTGTTTTTGTTTTTTTTCACCCTCCCTTGTAATCTGTTCTTCTCATGCCCTCCAGTTACGTTTGTGGTTTCACAAAAAGAGAAAAAATGAATATAAAGTGAACAATTAAAAATAAAAGATTGAGTTTCTATTCGAGTTTCCATTCCCCACCTAAATTAACCCTTACGGGGATACTATAGTATCTATACTATATATTTACATAAATAAACAATTTAAAAAAAATTTAATCCAACACTTTCACTGCCAAATTATTAAACTCAAAACTATTTTCTTGGCAAGTTATAAGGAATGCTCACGGTAAATGTAATTCCTACAATTCCATACCGGGAACACCATTAGACCAAAATGTTACAGTAAAATATTACTTTTCAACATATAATGGAAATAATTGGGAAAAAAACCCACACAAAACCAATAATTCAGTCCAAAATGCTGAGTCCACCTCCACTTATTGTAATCTTTTTATTTCAGCATTGTTTTCCTTTGTGGTATGCTACTGTTGTACAGTCTCTCTCTACATGTCCACTCAATTTCCTGTAGTTGTCATTGTGAACAATTTAGAAATAAATATATATAGTCTTTTTCACTTAACAAAAGTATAAAACATTCATTTAGTGTTTACCCCATTGGGTGAATACAAACATGTAATATAGTTATCCAGGTTGGGGGGTGGGGGGGAACTCAAGTCCATCAGGTTCAGGTTTCAAAGAATCTCAATGTCTATCACAGTTAGTTAGACTGAGGCTGAGATTCCATGAAATGTTCAAATAATATGCAAACTTCTATTTTTCTTCTTGAGCTCTGTGTAAATTATATGAGCCACTAGATGGCACTGCTTATCCATGCTTCACAAATCAATACTCATTCTCTGAATGTTGTGAATGCATTCAATATTTCTGATATTGGCTTATTTTATGTATTTCATTACTGAGAAAATCATCTTGCTTGGTACAAGTAAAACAAACAAACAAAAACATTGCCCCTGCCTTTGGTGTACCTAATTCCCTTCCAGGTCTGCTAAAATAATATCTTGTGTAATAATGTAGTGCGTTTATCAGTGCAGCCTACTGGTTCTTGTTTTGCCTATTTATTTTACATTACTTATAGCACCCTTATCCAGGTATTGGTTTACTCTTTGTTTGTTTTTTACAGTTTTTTTTCCCCCTCTTATACCAGTGGATGTATAAATAATACAATAAAAAAATGCATTAAAAAAATCTGAAAATCTTGCTGCAATTTTAGCTGTGTAATGTATTCTTCATCATTTTCACAATGTGTCTGTTAAATTGCCGTTATAAAGTAAATTTATTTTATTCATTCTTCTGAGTTTCTCACATTCTTACAGATCCGATTGGTATTGTACTAGATTTGTTTTCACGTGTTATTTATATCTTCAAAGTGATATAATCATTGCTGGAATAGAATTCGGTCCATTTTAGATCAGCCTTTAGCAGATTACAGCAGCGCTATCACTTTTTTGCATTTTGTTTCCTGATTCTTAGCTCTATAATTAATTTTTATCCACACTGTTTGTTCAGGGACCATTATTTATGATCTTTTTTTGAGTTATCTATTGATCTGCTGGGTCTTTTTTCCTTTTGCCTCCACCTTCAGTGTTTCTCTAATGATGTGCATGTTGTGATATTTTCTGCCCTTCTTTTGACATCTTCTGTAATACTGCTCCCAAGTAATTCACACACACCCAGTGTATACTTACACTAGGAGGTAAATATTCATTGAGACCAGCCTTAACAGTTTTGATAGCGGAGATTAAAGGAAGTGGAGTTTGAGGAAGGCTCTACTCTTTGTCAAGGTTTTACACACTGAAGATAATAAATATAAAAAAGTAGTCCATTGTGATAAAAGCTGATCTTCTTTATTATTTAATTTTTGCACCTCATTTAATTGCTTTATTGCTCCATACATGCTGTGGAATTTTTAATTTTTTTTTATATACCCATAAGGCTTCCCTAGTTGAAGAAACACTCCAACGGGGAAAACAATTATTTTGTTCCACAATTTAGTAGATATGAGCCCAATAAAAACATGCATGCATATATTGCTGCATTATTTCATTGAGGGTATATCTAAAACCAGCTTACAAAAGCTGCAGATCTCTTCTATGCATCCTTTGCTATTCATCCTCATCACCCTGAGCATGGACTTCCTGTGGCTACCCAATCACAGACTTCCCAAACCAGGAAGTAACATGATGGCTTGTCTGATTGTCAGGCAGAGGGTATAACAAGCTAAATTTATAAAAGTGCCAATTTCTATTGAAATCTGCACTTTTTATTATAAAAATTTTAAAAAGAGGATACATATCAGAAATCTGAAGTGATATAAGTGTTTGGAGTGGAACAATCTTTTATCTGGAATTCAGAGCAATATAAATCACCTATAACCTTTTTTTTTAAATGTGTTTTTACGACTTGTTTTAACTTTTTTTTTCTTAATGTGTTTTATGTTAAATTTAGATATTTAGCAATTGACATTAGAAGAGGAGAAACATTATATTTATTTTTCTCCTTCTTTCTCTTTGCTCTCTCTATACTGACAAAGTTTAGAATAATGATTTACAGAGAGCGCCAAGACGAAGGCACTTAGTTTTAGGATAGAGCAGTGTGAATTTCTACATTTTATTTTGTTTTTCAAAGCAGTAATGGGGTGTTCCTAGTTAGTTTGTTATATTTTTACATTAATGTCTGTTCTACTGATTCTCCATGTGGCAACAAAAAATTGAAAGTATCTCAGTAATGAAACTGGCACTTGGATATATTTGAGGTGTTATTTATCTTCTCTCTGTTGTCTGAATACCACAATTTGTAATGTTGGGAGAAAAAGTACAGCAAGAATTGGAATTTTTTTAATAACCTCACACTGATATATTTTTTTTAAATTAACACCACTTTTTTTTTTTTTTTTAAATAACTCACATTTCTAAATTTCCTAAAAACAAAACACAATAAAAAAAAGGGGGTTACACATTGTATGTTTTCTATGGGGGTGAGGGGGACAGGGGGGAGGAGAGTAAACTGGTACACCAAAGGGATCTGCAGGAAATGTGGCTCTCTAATGGTGGCTACCACTGCGGCTTCTTTAGAAAAAATAGTGAGGAACACTTCTTTATATTTTACCCATCTATGTAGCCATACCGTATGTGACATACCTCCTCCGGCATTGCTAACCATCTCCACTAAGCTCTGCTCAGTGTGCACCTCTCAAGGTTTTCATCCTGTGTCAGTGTTGCAATTTTCCTCCGCAGATCTCCAATTTGAGCTTTCAAAGAAGCCACTCACTCACTTGTCATAGATATGTGAACCTGGAACCAGATGTTCCAAGAATTCTCATTTTTGATAAATTGCAAACGTTTGTTATAAATGTCTCTCTCTATGACGAGCAGTACCACTAAGTTATTTTAAATAATAGCAGTGTTATACTTTGTGTTATGCATCAGCCAAATTATATGCCACGCAATTTTGTTTCCTTTTTCCAGTTTAATGACAAAATTAGGAACAGTTTATTATAAACTGTTGTGGCTCTTCTTAATAAAAAGGGATTGCCACATTGACAATTGACAATGCATAATTATCCCACATTACCAATGTCAACATCATCCAAAATGAATTATACCTAACCAGCCTCCAGCTCACATTGCCAATTGTTTAGTGTTTACAAGTATTAATTCTGCTTTAACAGTGAAACTAAGATTTTAATAGGTCCCTTGACATTTGTAGGAGCCCCGGTTTTATTAAAAAAAACATTGCTAAATGTTTCTTTATTTAACTGGAGAATTTGTATTATGGATATTGCTAGGAATGGCATAGACATTCTTAACCAGAACTTAAAGGGAAACGGTCATTTACCAGGATTCTTAAAGGGACACCGTAGACACTGTATCTGCTTCATCTCATTAAACTGGTTATAGTGTCTGGAGTCCCCTGGTACAACCATTTCTTTTAACATTAAACAGTTTTTAACGTTTTAAGGTTTTAATGTTAATCAAGAGTCCCTGGCAGTCCATCCCCTCTGTGCTGCTTTGGCTAATAAGGAAGTATTACCCTGAGTAGCAATGAGCAGCTGTGATTGGCTGAGAGTGTCAGCTGACTGCTTTTAGCCTGTCAGAGCTCCAACTGACGGTATGAATGGGTATGACAACAAGGAAGTGTGTAAACTCTGCCTTATCTACACGTACAGAAGGGGCCGGATTGTGGGTGGCCAGGGACTCTTATTTTGTGGCATACTGCACAAACATGGTGCAACACTGAATGAAGGGACAGTGCCAGGATGCTCCAGGCACTGTAACCAATTCAAAGAGATTAAATGTTTATAGTGACTACAGTGTCCCTTTAAGGGTTAGGTTTACCTATCCTTATAATTAAAAAAAATAATAATGTACAGAAGGTGTACAAAATGTAAAATAAAGATAAAAATTCACATCTCTTTATAATGCAACTGGGCGCCTCCATTTGAACTCTTTTACTGTGATTTTATAAGCTTACAATACAATGCTACTATTTCTCCTTTTCATTTGTATTGTTTGCTCTGGCTTTGCCTCGTCTAAATTGGATTATGATATAATTTGCTAAATCTTGAATATAAATTTAACAGAAAAATATATAACACCTAAAACCAGGTATAGGTGATTTTCAATATTTTATTATGTGATCTAAATATCAGAGAAGTGAAAGTTGCCATCTAAAAACCATTGCTGTGTAGAGTGTAGCTGCAACCTTTGTGCAACAATGAACATAGTTCAAACTATGCTAGTAGTAGTAAATGTACACATGAAATTAATGAAATGTAAATATATATATATATATATAAAAATGAACTAATTAAAGCTACACAACACACACACACTGCAAACACTAACACAACACACGCACTGCATACACTAAACACAACACACACTCTGCATACACTAATACAACACACACTCTGCATGCACTACACACTAACACATTCACTGCATCCACTATACTGACACACACTGCATTCGCTACACATTAACACACTCTGCAGAGTGTGTGTTAGTGTAGTGAATGCAGAGTGTGTTAATGTGTAGCGAATGCAGTGTGTGTCAGTATAGTGGATGCAGTGAATGTGTTAGTGTGTAGTGCATGCAGAGTGTATGTTGTATTAGTGTATGCAGTGTGTGTGTTAGTGTATGCTGAGTGTGTTGTATTAGTGTATGCAGAGTGTGTGTTGTTAGTGTATGCAGTGCGTGTGTTGTGTTAGTGTATGCAGTGCGTGTGTTGTGTTAGTGTATGCAGTGTGTGTGTTGTATTAGTGTATGCAGTGTGTGTTGTGTTAGTGTATGCAGAGAGTGTGTTAGTGTAGTGGATGCAGAGTGTGTGTTAGTGTAGTGAATGCATCCGCTACGCTAACACACTCTCTGCATACACTAATACAACACACACTCTGCATACACTAACACAGCACACACTCTGCATACACTAACACAACACACACACTAACACAACACACACTCTGCATACACTAATACAACACACACTCTGCATACACTAACACAACACACACTCTGCATACACTAATACAACACACACTCTGCATACACTAACACAAACATTGCATACACTAATACAACATACACACTGCATACACTAATACAACATACACTCTGCATACACTACACACTAACACACTCACTGCATCCACTATACTGACACACACTCTGCATTCGGTACACATTAACACACTCTGCATTCACTACACTAACACACACTCTGCATCCACTATACTGACACACACTCTGCATTCGGTACACATTAACACACTCTGCATTCACTACACTAACACACACTCTGCATCCGCTACACACTAACACACTCTCTGCATTCACTACACATTAACACTCTGCATTCACTACACTAACACACATTCTGCATCCGCTACACGCTAACACACTCTCTGCATTCACAACACATTAACACACTCTGCTTTCACTACACTAACACACACACACTCTGCATTCACAACACACTAACACACTCACTGCATCCACTATACTGACACACACTCTGCATTCGGTACACATTAACACACTCTGCATTCACTACACTAACACACACGCTGCATCCGCTACACTAACACACACTCTGCATCCGCTACACACTAACACATTCTCTGCATTCACTACACATTAACACTCTGCATTCACTACACTAACACATATTCTGCATCCGCTACACACTAACACACTCTCTGCATTCACAACACATTAACACACTCTGCATTCACTACACTAACACACACACTCTGCATCCGCTACACACTAAGACACACTCTGAATTCACTACAAATTAACATACACTCTGCATTCACTACAAATTTACACACACTCTGCATTCACTGCACTAACACACACACTACATTCATTACACACTAACACACACTCTGCATTCATTACACACTAACACACACTCTGCATTCACTAAACTATGCACACACTCTGGATTCACTATACTGACACACACTCTGTATTCACTACACTAACATACACTCTGCATTAACTGTACACACAGCATCCACTACACAAACATCCTGTATTCACAGTACACACACTACATCCACCACACATTGAAACACTCTGCATTCACTATACACAGACACTGTGTCTAATTCACATACTACATCCACTACAGACACTGCATCCACTAAACTATTTCATCTAGTACATACAAACACTACATCCACTACACAAACACACACTACATCACTGTACACACACTACATCACTGTACACACACTACATCCACTACTCAAACACACTCTGCATTTACTATACACACTGCATCCGCTACACAAACACACACTCTGCATTCACTGCACAAACAGTATCTAATACACACAAACAATACATCCATTACACATATGCTAATTCACTTCCCCTATACACACCACATTCAGTCCTGCATCATTGTCAGCGGACCAGGTAGGGCGTTGTGCTTTGTCAAAATTTCTGATGGCGGCCCTGGCTGGGGAGGACGCATTCCCTCTCACTGATTGGGCTAAACATGCTGCAGCCTCTCTTCCAGGCACCAGGAGAGTTAGGGAAGAGGAGGTCAGGGCAGAAGAAAGGACAGAGCAGGACCAAAGGCAAAACAGAACAGGACAAAGAACAGAGAAGAGGAAAATAAAGGACAGGGCAGAAGAAAGTAGAAGAAGGTAGAGAGACTTTGCTTTGGGGCACGCCCTTTTATGTTATTTACGATTGCTCTAACTGCCTTTGAACAAAAAAACAGTGCAGAATCTTCACAACTATTTTTAATCCTTTAAGAATAGAGAATCTGTTTTAGTTTACTTTTTTCTTTTTAAATTAAATTTCTGTGTTATAAGAGACATACAAATTAAACCACATCAATTGTTTATTTGCAGCATTCTTATATTTAGTGATATTTAGTGATATTTGTGATCTGTATAGAGCAGTGCAGAGGGTAGAGCTGCCAATCACAGGAAAAGTTGAGTAGTTAACCCCTTAGTGACCAGACCGTTTTTTTCAAGTTTCTTACCGTTAAGAACTAGGACTGTTTTTTGTTTTTTTCTCCCCCACATCAGAAATTGGTATTTAATGTATGCCTCTTTATCTCAAGAGTAACCTCATTAAGTACCAAATCATCATTTGTGTTTTTTTTTTTTAAATGGAAACACTCATATCTGGAGTGTTTTTTGTTGTTTAGTATTCTTTTTGCAAATTTTAAACAAAGTACGTTACAGACACGTACACAGTTCAAGGATAGTCATGTACATCGATTACCAGAAGAGAAATATATGAACTGTTGAATATACATCACAGGCATATAACATATGTAACAAATTTTAGAAGATTGAGCGGATTGAGCAGGCCTATTCTGAGATTACTCCAGATTTTTTTAGGTTACATAACCCATAGGGAAGAGTAATATTTCTATATGTGGATTATCATAACAGAGAACAGGTCTAATTATATTAGGTTGTCTAACCAAGGTAACGATTTTTTTCATCAAATTTTAAATGGCTATCATATTGAAAAGATATACCCCTTTCCATATCATATTGGTATTTAAGCACCAGGATGGATTTTTTTGTAGCCAATATCTTGATATTTCTATTTTTATGGCCATCATGAGTTGAATTATTAGATATCGTTTTTGAGTTGAGAATTTTTTTATATTAAAATGAAAAAGAGCAACCAAGAAATTATCTTCCAATTTTTTTTCCACTAAGTCTGATATAACTCTAAATGCCTTATTCCATATAGGTCTCAAAAGCTTACACTAGATATGTTTAGAGCTACCTTCTACACAATTACACCTCCAGCATAGTTTGGTATTACCAGGGCTAATTTTATTTTGGATTTCTGGTACCCAATGCCATTGATGAATAATTCTGTAGTGAAGCTCTATAATATTTAGACAGTGCAATGATTTTTTAAACCTCTTGAATTGATCTATACCACTGCTCTAGCTCGATGGGGGACCCGCTTTCTTGTTCCCAGTTTTTCCAGGCTTTTGGTTTACTCTATTTCTTCCTCTCAGTTTACATTTTGTATTATTTTTAAATAGATCATTTAATTTTTTAATTATCCTAGAAAAATAAATCCCAAGGTATTTAAAACCTTGTGGTGACCAAGTAAAAGGATATTTAGTTGATAGTCTATTAATTGTCATAGAGTCTAAGGTAATGGGCATAAATTGGGATTTACCAACATTTAATTTGTAATTTGAGACTCTACTATAATCTTTTAACTGTAAGATTAAGGCCCCTAGTGATGTGACCAGATCTGTCAATGTTAATATTATATCATCAGCATAGAGGCTGATCTTAAAATCACAATGATCCATGATGATACTTTAATTTGGTAGTTGTTTCTTATACTCACTGCGAGTGGTTCAAGTGTCAAAATATCTAACAGCGGAGCAAGCGGGCATCCCTGCCTGGTCCCATTAGAAATTGTGAACCAATCTGCAGAGATGCCAGGGCCCAGAGTTTTTGCTATTGGACTAGAATAGAGCCATTATTGCAGTTTTGATGGAACCAACAAATCCAAATTTGTCCAAAGTCTGGTTCATAAAACCCAACTGACCCAGTCAAATGCCTTCTTAGCATCTAATGACAGGGCCAGCAGTGGAATCTTGTTCCTTGTTACATAATCAATCAAGCCAGTCAGTCTTCGAGTATTGTTACTTGGATTTCGATTCTGAACAAAGCCTATTTGGTTGGGATAAATTAATGACGGGATAATTGATTTTAGTCTATTCTTCTGACAGCAGTGTAAATTTTAATATCAGAGATTATAAGAGATATAAGACAGTAATTGGCTAGATTAGTAGGGCCATTATCTGTTTTTAATATTGGTGAAATATTGGCCTGTAATAATTCTTTCAAAGGAAGACCAGTTTCTCTAATCTCATTAAATGTGTCTACTAACTGTTGCGAAAGCTCGGTTTTAAACATCTTTAAAAAGCAGTTAGTATACCTGTCAGGACCTGGAGCTTTATTCAGTTTAAGATTATTGATTATTAAAGTGACCTCATATTCGGAGAATGGTAAGTGTTGGGAACTCAATCCTGTCCAAATATTTAGATATTTCTGATTCCTGGGGGTGGTTAGAGGCTATAGAGTTGTGCATAGAATATATTAAAGGCATTGCCATTTGATTTTGGGTCATTGTAACTATGATCTTTTCAGTTCTTGGAATCACTTTTCTATTTTTTAATCTATTGGAAAGAAATTTATCGGCTTTATTGCCTTTATGGTACCAATTCTGGTTTAGTTTTTGTAAAGCAAAATTCACTTTAGCCAATAAAATAGAGTTGATCTTATTTCTGATATTTTTTGATCAACCTCCTTTGTGGGGGAGATTTTTTTTAATATTTAGATTATAGAGTTTGAAATATAGTTGATTTAAAGAGAGGCCTTGTTCCCTTTTTTTTTCGGACCCCAATTTAATTATATGACTCCTTATTACACTCTTAAAGCACAACATAAAATTTGCTTTGATATTTCTCGTGTAGTATTTTCTTTGAAGTATAATTTGATCCTATCCGAGATATAATCGGTAATTTTAGAATTTCCCCTCATATCA